TGTCATGGTGGGTGACCAAGTGTTAGACCGATGGGGAAAACTACATGGATTTGGGTCTAGTTTAAGTTCTAGTTCTTCTGGTTCGGTTCACGTGACGATCCCTCTTAAACGTCGTTTGCAGTTTCCGTCGGTCTGTGTAGATGAGCTAGTCGATAGATAGCGGTGTAAGAGGGATTCTGTGAACTTTGATTGGGTTGGGATTTCTACTCCACTGTTTTTCCTTATAGTTCTACGTGAATTGACACCCACACAGTCATATGTCAACACGGCTTCCTTCAGACCTCTTCCCATGCGCTCGCCAGTTCCACACCCTCGATTCTATTCACACTGCGACGCATGGTGATTTCCACTCCTTGGCTATCAGCCAGATCTATTCTATGTCCATTGTCTAAGGCATACACCGCCATCGCTGAGTCTTTGACCAGCGTTTGGTATTCTTCCGCATTCCTTGGCGGTTTGTTTATTCTCTTTTTTTTGCTCACCTATTCAGGTGTGCATTTACCTGGTAGTTTGTTTTATGTAAAATTTAGCGCAGTCGTTGCAGTTCATTTTGTACACAGAGTCCCTGGTCTTTTGAACCGGGAGGGAATTTTTCACGTGGAATTATAAGGAAAAACAGTGGAGTAGAGATCCCAACCCAATCAAAGTTCACAGAATCCCTCTTACACCGCTATCTAGCACTAGCTATCTACACAGACCGACGGAAACTGCAAACGACGTTTAAGAGGGATCGTCACGTGAACCGAACCAGAAGAACTAGAACTTAAACTAGACCCAAATCCATGTAGTTTTCCCCATCGGTCTAACACTTGGTCACCCACCATGACACACAAAATCCCTCGGTCGGAACTTAACAGAGATTTAGCTTGGCTTAGTTGATTGGTTCTCCTTCCGCCTTAAACCTCAGCCAAGCTGACCAAGCTTTTGTCTTAAAAGCGAAACGTTGCTCAGCGATTGATCTACCAACTGTTACCAAACGTTTCCGAAAACGATGACTAGTCAGTCGATTTCAAGCGTTACTCACCCCATTTGAAGTCCCTGTGTAAGCAGTGGAAGATCCATATTTTCGGTTTATAACAGTGACTCAAATTCTGACTCAACTTAGACTAATCGTAATTGAGTTTTCGTCCAGGAGAGTGGAGTGCACACTGAAACGCCCATTTTATTCAAGCCCTAATGAAAACACGAGTAGCATTTGTATTGGCGTTTCAGATCTTAAAATAGAAATGTGGATTTGTATCTAGGGTTCGTTCAATCTAGAAGCGCTCAATGTCTTTGCTGTTGTTGCAGCTAGACCAACAGGCACCCATTTTCACACCTTTCTTCCCGTCACTAATATGGCTACTGTCTCTCAAGCAAGTATACCAAACCCTGTTGTGATAATACAATTCGTCATGGCTCAACACATCACAGCGTTTCATTTTTCCGTGGCTCATAATCGAGGGACTGATTAAGGTCCGAATGGTGAAGGTGTCCTTTTGAGCTGCGTTGCACCTGGTATGTGGAAGAATATCATCGACAGATGGCCCGAGATCTGTTTGTTTACTTTGTTTCTAGCCCTGCAGTAGCACTATGTGGAGAGGGTCAACATAAATGAAGGACATCTAAACAGAAGGTTTAGTTTGATGCTTACGGAGATCATGAATATTATTGCTCTGTGCAGCTTTGCGCGGATTTCCGACACAAACGCGAACATCTTGTTACATGTCGCCCAGCGGACAAGAACCAATCCAGGTTTTAAAAAGACCAAATAGCAACTACCTATAGATGGCGAACTAGTGTTCGGAACACTTTTATTGACTTATGTCACACCATGCTTCCTGGGCTTGTTATGATTTGCTTCCCTGAACTTAGGAGAAAAAACGCCCACCATTATATTATTTTTGGTCATTGAAACGGTACACCACTAGTCTAGTGTTTCAGCAAACTTATCGGTCATCCGAACGAAGACTGACTCAAAATGGAGAACTTAAGAATTCAGGTGTCGACGGCGTACATGTTAAAACGAAAACCCTAACGCAAGTAAAACTCGATCCCATAGGAATGTGTCCTTGAGTGAAATTATGAAGAGGATACTATCGGGGATGTCAGTGCTATTCTCCGAAACAGTTCACCGCCTCAAAGGTGAATGAAAGAATGAATGAATACTGAATAGTGAATAATGAATAATGAAGTCCCGAGAATGGAAGAGTTGGTATTGATACCAAACAGTCGAAAACTCTTTGGACTTGTTCTTAGCACCGTGATCAAAGCAAGGCCATCACAGCGGGCGGAAGCACGCGCTGTTTGAGATTTAGTCGTGATACAAAACACAATAGCTAATTTGAATATATTCGTCCTGCTATTCGCAACTCCAAAGTAAAAGGCACCGTCACAAAACTGAGTGGTTACGTCATTCCAGCCTTAGTTCTTCGGGAAGTTTCCTCACTTCAGATGCAAGTAATATTGCCCAAGACGATTCCAGTCTCATTGAAACCCTTCTAAGTCCTTTCAAAATGTGCACCTTTGACAATGATACGATATTTGCCTGTCAAGATAGAGCTTTGTGTAAAACACGATGATGCAGCTTAGGCACTGTGTATAGAAAGCAGAAGAATATTTATGTTTGTTCACTGTCTCTGAAACATTCCATATGCACCATGGGAGCATCCACTTAACAGTTTCCATTTTCGACTATTGGTCTTGGTCCTTAATTATTTGTCACGAACTCTAATATTTTGTGACTGGTTATTTCTTGCACTTACCGTCTCTCTTATCCTACACCGTCCGTTGCCATTCGCTTTGGTCGCCCGAACCACCGTACGCACATACAAAGTTCACAGTGGTCGAACAGAACAGAAATGATTATATATATATATATATAATGAACAACCACAGTGAAAATAATCTTGGTGAGTTCTTCGTCACATATTTTCCGTCCACCATATAGGTTTTGTGGGTAACACCTTTTTTTGAGTGATAATCCAAACTGCGGTTTTGTTATTTACTTCCTACACCCATACGTACTGTGTATTATGAAGTTCAGTACATAGTAATTATTCACTAAAACTCAGAGAGTCACAGCAATAAAGCTTTGTTCCTTTAAAGCATGAAAATGAGTTCGAATGCATACAGTGTATTGCAAATTGAAATTGATTGAAATTTCGTCAAATGACCACAGCTGATCAAGAGGAATGTATTGTGAGCAAAATCAAAGCAAAGTGGAAGAAAATGCTTATCCAGGCAAACTGAATTAGCTTTTCCTCCCTGAAAAGACTACCTCAAGAAACCTACAGAGGCCTCACTCATTTGCGTGGCAGCTACTTTGGAGGGTGTTTCCTATAAGTTACTCAAAGGGGGACAATATTAAGGGGACCTCTTATAAGATACTTCGACGATTTAACCCCGATTGCTAATGAAGCGTTTGCAATACAAATGCTAGGCTCTTTGAGCAACCAAACAACTACTAGTCCCTGAGGAATTTGCTCCAAGAGTGGTGGTGCTGTCTTATTCACGATCAGTTTGATCAAAAACATTTACGGAAACCTCTGGCTGTTCAGCTTTGGCTCCTGTACTGAATGTTCAGTGGACTAACGAAGCAGACAGCCTTTCTTCTCTGTGAGACGATGGGTGGCAAGGAACAGGTAGTTCTTTACCATGTAAACTCATTTGCACACTAATTTGGGTTGAGGGAGGAACACAATCAAACTCCAGATGAATCGATGATCCACGACATTCCTCAACTGAATTTACTACGCAAGAGCCCCCCTTATGTTAAAATCACTTAAAGAGATCCTGTCGGACAGTGGTTCTGATATAAAGAAGTGTAGCTATCGAAAGAAAATTAGAATTGTCAACTGAGTGTTTCGGACCAGTGTTTTTTCAAAGGGAACATAAATACTAAAATATGAAAGATATCCTAGTTTTTGAAAGTAACTTTTCATATAAAAGAGCATTCTGTAGTGGTCGGCCACATACGAATCGCTGAGGACACGAGTTGTTTGCATAAATTTCGTGTTCAGAATGTCTCTGTCCTGTTTCCCTAAGATTCACTGTTATATGCAGTCGACACGATATTGTTATCGACCGATCTATCCGACCTATCAATCTTTATCCTGAAACCCATGAATGAATTCAGATGACTTACTTGTGGGGTAGATATGCACATGTAAGCCCTGTGAATTTGTTTCGTTGATGACTGGTGGATTGCAACGATCGTAGTTCACGCTGAAAGCAAATGATCTGATGGTTATCTTAGGAAAAATGCACAAGAATGACGTTTACTCGTTTCATGCATGAGAATAACATAGGACTGAATGCATAAATTTAGCCCGTGGACCGCACTTATCCGGGAAATTTATTGGATTAATAGAATTTCAATGAAACTAGATAAACTGTGGTAGCCATAATTACACTGTACTCTTTTTCCTGTTTATCACGTTGCATGCACATTAATGACTTTTTGTGAGGGAATCATTTAAATTTTCCGACATTATTTCTGTGCCAAGGTATGACGTAATCGGTCATCCTTCCCCACGTTTGCCGATACTGTAACCAGGTTTCGAAGGAATGATAAGGAAGCTTGTCACAGCCACGTTGTGAAGTGACCAACTGAGTTGGCTAGATGGACAATTTTGTATCAGTCGTAAGTGGACAACAGCTCCAGTTCACGTATCGTTGCCAAGTTTTTAGTGTCACACAGGAAACGGGGAATTACACATTGAGTGGTCACGACAGACTGTGAGATCTGAGAAACACTAAGGGGTACATTGCCCTAGCAGTGATAGGAACTCTGGAAATTTTATAATGATGTCCAGGTGAAGAGACATTTCAGATTACGCCTGACGCAATTTTCTACTTCTGCAGCAAAGGCTTGCCACGTGCGTGACATGGAGATCCCATTCCTTTTCAGCAGTTAATTTAAGCGACAATTGTCTCATTCCATGACGTCACGCGGTTTCCCATATTAAAAAACAATTTCTCGCGGTATGTTGAAATACTGGGAGCTCGGGTGCGCTTACTGGTAGTTGATCGGCTGGCTGTTGGTCTTTCCGGCGAGCTTGGCAACTAACTCGCAGTCGCTCCACGACCATTGAATGAAACATCATCTATGAACGGTTTTGTAGAAATTTCCCTTTCCCATGCGTGCTCTAACGTGATAGGCTCTTCATGAACCACCTAATTAGCGATTTGTGTTGCGCCGTGGTCTGCCTTCATCTTATTGATTAGTTATTGCCTGCCTTCTAATTTCAGTGAATTTTATTTTCACGGTGATTAGCTTGTTTGGCTTGTTTGTGCAACCTTTCTCTGCACAGTTCACGTTATTTTGGTCGTTACTGTATTTTGGTTATCGGGAGTACTGGTCCCTATTTACAGTTGTAAATCCCGGACCTTTGACTTTGAACGTTTTTGTTTTGGCTCTGTGAATTCTTCCTTCGTTCCCTGTGTGTCTCAAGGCTTGAAGGGTTCTGGGCTTCTATTATCCCTGAACTTTGGTAGGCAGGGTCAATTTCCATGCGTCTGTTTATTGACCTGCCATAGGAAAATCATGCGCCAATAATTTCGAGTTCTCACTTTCTTCTTGCTTAACCTAGTTTACTGGTGTTCCTTCAGATACCTCTTTGTTGGTCTTCATATTCAGGGAAGAGCGAATTTGATTATGTCTTCTAGTAGCAAGCTCAAATTTACCGCTTCTGTTTGATAGCTCCAGCCCCCTTCCAGATAGTGCACTGAGTTTTGTAAACAAACATTAGTCTTCTCTAGTGTATCTGGTTTTGCCTTTGATTTGGACATTGATGTTTGCAGTGTGCTTGTGTGTCTGTAGGCCACATTCTTTTCCCACTGTGCAGTGTCCTNAGATCTCCAGCTAAAGTTTCCTGAGCATTTGTTTGGTTGCAAGACATAGTACAGGCATCTCACCTCTACCTCGCATTTCACTGTTTTGCAAACGAACCACGGACAGACGAAGAACCCACCCAACCTTGTATTGATGCTATCTCTTCGAGCGGTGACAGAATTTTGCAATTCAGTCGCCAAGGTTGGCAAAACAATCAAAAGGCACCTACTCGACTTCCGTTAAAATTAAATTAAATTGAGTGGATCAGGTTTTTTCATGTTTTTTCTCAGTTTCTTCTCATGCGCTCTTTATTCCTCTGAACCGACGATAGCACGATCAAAAGGTGTACTTTCCTTTTTTCGGACCATTAATTCCGCTCGGTGAAAATATCAGGATATCAAAAACTCCTCCATGTTTTCAACCCCATTTACGAGGGTATGTCAAGTAGCGAACACCTGAATGACTAATTCTGGAATCTTAAGAATCTTGACGTTACTAGTATTGAGAGGTCTTGAGAGAGATTCAATAATGACTGTCCCAATTTGATACCATATCCTCATTTTACCTGATAATGAAACCGCTTCCCTTCACAGCAACAAAACTTTAGCCAGCTTATAATGACTGTAGAAGTTTGCACATTCATGCTCCTTGTAGACCGTGCTCGCAAGACCAAATTGCCTACTGAACAAGGGTCATGCCTATGCAAATAGTTATGTATATTTTTGTGTTCTCCGGAAGGTGTTTTCTGTCTGAAACACCGAAGAGCGCGGGACTGTGGTCAGACTAGTCGATTTTGGCAAGACGGATTACTCTCAGACACGAGCAACCTATCCGACATCCACGCAAACAATGCCATAGACACGTAATACACAGTTGTGCGCCGACCACATGTAGACCTGATCAAGCAAGAAAACCAGTTTTACAGAGCACTAGGTCATGCGAAGAAAGAGTTTCAAGTCAGCTGGAAGCATTTTTGTGTGGGAAGACACTCCTATTAGGAGAATTACATCTTAGTATTCACCCTGTTGGTTGGCAGACATGTATTTTAAAGTTAGAAAGATAGTGACGTCGGCCAACATGCAGTGGTACACAAGTTAGATCTGTATCCACTTTCTAGAAATGGAATGTTTTTTCATAATTATTAATCTCTGTTATCCAGCTTCAGTTCTTGTCAACCTTTTCGGTTCTGACTTGCCTTATTCCCATCAAAAAGATAAGTTAGACAACAGTTGCGACATCCATCAAATATCAACTAAGATGAGCTACTATATTAATGAAAAGCTTATGCCGGAGTGGAAGACTGATAGACTGTCAATCAAATTATAGTTCTATCGATCCTTTACTTCTACTTATTAAAATATTAAAATGGTGTTTTTAAGACAATGAGTCAAAACTCCATTCAACATGGTTAAAATTACCTAGTCTATTGCTTCTTACTAACAAACCACAGCAAACCACACCTTTGCACGACTCCCACCCTTGTAATGAGCTCCCTGTACCTATCCATTAGCTGATAAAATGTTTCCCTTTATAATTCGAATCTTTTTATTTTCCACAAAAGGTGATTCACTTCTGATTTGATATTTACTGTGCCTCCAATTCGTAAGGAGAGAAATCCGTTTAGCTTGGGCGAATGAACTTACACAACTCAGTTTGATATTTGACACTTGTTGAGCCGCATGATGATTAGCGCCGTTTACAAGAAGCAGACCCAAAAAGGGCTGAAAATGGTGGATCCAATAGAGCGTCAATGAATCATCACAGTATTGTTTTCTAACGTAAACTTGTGGATCTCAATCAAAGTTGGTGTCATTCAATCTGTTGCTGTTAATCACGCAATAATCATTGAGATAGTAATCGTTTTGTTGTCTTTGACGAGAATTCGCTTTAGCCGATCCACCACATTACTTAATTTGTCGTCAGAAAGGGTTGCATTGTAGATTGGGAATGAAATAAGGACAGGCTAACTGATAGAGTTTCTTTGCTGGTTTTGGCCCTAAACCTTGTCTTGAGCGTCTTAGTTGTTCATTCGTTCCGTCAATGAGTTTTAGTCTCGCACGTTTTTGAAACAAAATCCTAGTTTACTGATTGAATAATCTGACAGTTGGCCGCGACAAAATCGGTCTGATGCATAACGCAGGATAGACTGGAGCATAGCTAACGAAGTGTCTACCGGCAATTTGACATAATTACTGCCGTACGCCGACACATTCTCTCAGGTGACTCCAGTGTGACAGACGAAACTTCCGGACGATCACATTTTAAGAAATGTGGTAATTTGACGTTGTCCCAAAACAGGCTTCTTTAAATTATATCACCTCCCATGCGATCACAGTGAACTATTTCGTGAACTGTTAAAAAGAGTTTTCCAACCTCAAAGACCTAGTATACGTTTCAGGAGTTTTCGTCGCCGACTACGCGTTTGTACGTTCATCCCACAAGTTTTAGTGGTCGTTACGCAGATCATTACGAGGAACTTTCCCGTATCACTCTCCCGGTTTCTGAAAATGAGTTGTTGTATGTCAGACTGAGAGAGAACAACAATTCGTACGCTAACGCGTCAGTCTTATTAGAGATACAATTGTTTACCGGAGGATCATTGCAGAAAACCTGTTGCTCATGCGTGGAACTGCAGACTTAGTTGAAGAGCACTTCCCTAAAAAAAACTGGCCTAACCGTATTCATCGTTTCACTCGCAGACTAATAGTAACAATCCTTGCGCGTAGTTTCTTCAAGCAAAATTGGATGAGAAGAAGGAGCATCCTTTGAGACAGAGCGGTGCTGCTCTGGTTTATCTAATCTGAATGTGCTATTTGACCTTTTGATACTTGATTCATTTATGGTTCTTTTACTTCACTCTACCCTTTTTTTCTAACCAGCCCCCAAAGTGCTTAAAAGCGCCTTCCAAATTTCAACCAGGGTTAAATGTGTTGTGATCTTTCGATCCATAGGAAATTGAAGGCAAAGAACATTCTCGAATTACAAAACTCTCAGAAGGACATAATACTGAACTGACATAAAACAGGTAAATCAGTTCACATATATAACATATCAGATATCCTTATGATTTTACTCTCAATTTTGGCAGTTTGGTGTCGCTTTATCTCAGCTTCACATGCAGTACATATATATATGTATACTTTATATACACTATATATGTGTGTATCTGCACGTTACTTAAATTGCATTATCAATGAAATCGAGATGACGCACAAACTGTCCCTTGTTTTGTGAGGTGACTCCGGTGGCATCAAGAAGCATTTTCTATGGAGCATAGAAATCTCCGGAGTAGTTCTCAAAGCCATGGCGTGACTAAGGTCATTTTCCCAAATATTCCTGAGAAACATTCCGCGGTTCACCAAAGCTAGTCTCGGAAGTATTGACGTCTGATTTGGTTCTGATGCACAAAAAGATTCTGTTAGTTGCTCAATACTTTATTTGGTTGGCAGTATTTCTACATCTTGATGCGGTTTAAATCCATCATCGACGGTTTAGAACAAGTAGAGCATATAGGTGGGGTGAGCATCCAGGGGGGTTTGCAGCCACTAGTTTTCTCAAAAAGAATAACCATGCACCGTCCTGATTAATAAATTACATCCCGATCCTCACGATTGTATTAATTCAACGCTCTCAGTTTACTACTAAACGAACCACCCAGTGTATAGTGAGTGTATAGATCGAAATCCTTAATCAGCGCTAAGAGGTCCTTTCAAATGGGAATTCTGTGACTTTTGCAAATCAGATCGTCCAAACTTAATGCACACTTACAACCAAAATGCAATAAATGTAGCATGTGTGGTGACTGGCGCCAAATGCTTCTCAAAGTACGTACACGTACGTAGACCCTCCTACAATTGTAACAAAGTGGACGCTAACTTTGATTGAAAAATGAGCGGTTCTGGGCTCTTAAAAAGGTGAAAGTATTATGCCCAGATGAGAAAGCTATGAGATGAACTGGTCTCGATTCAGAGCCATCCTATTGAAAAAAGCAACTTTGGCCATCAGAAAAACTCAAATGGAATCTATAAAAAAGCAAACAATGTATGTGTATAACTACCAAGATCTTTGGTGACAGTTTTGTGCTAGATCAAAGTTGTTTTATTCACGAAAAAGGCGTTATTTTTTTCCTTTTTATTTATAGTAATTGTGATTAGCCGTTAAAACTAACTTTTTTTCCTTTTTATTTAGAATAATGTGTGATTAACGTTAAAACTAACTTAATGAGAATAGGCTGCTCTGGACAAGTAAAACTCTCAGATTCCAGATTGTCCAAACGCTCCTAAGCCAGTTTTATTGGCTGTGGAGAATAGACACTGTGTAACCATAAAGAACGATTCAGTGCGCAGCAGGCCAGATCCTGAGAATTAGTAACCATTTAGCTGGAAAGGCCTTATAATTGGATCGGTATTAATGTCACACATGAATTATGTTGCACAATCTGGGAATGAAGTGTCATGCCATGGATAATTCGTTCAGAATTGAAAGTTCCGCCCTCAAAGGCGAACAGTATCTCTCATAGGGCATTTGGCTTTGCAGGCCTCTTGTTGGTAATATGTGGTGGAGATTGGTGCGCACCTGTAGGATTTTTGTTTGCCAAGCTTATCGTGTACAATGTGGTCTTATCAGTTCCTGCCAAATAACTGCCTTGAAGGCACTTTACTTGAAAAGTTGCCTAAAGACAAGGGTCAGTAGAATAGAACCTCTTTTAAACGGTTAACCTGTGGATTTTAAAAACAATCGTAGATGATTGGCATTTCACACCCCGTTTTACCTTATTCAAGTCTCAGCAAGCATCAGCAATTTTAGGAATCCTGGTCTTACGTCTGCAATGGTTTGGTAGTTGGTTAGTAGATGCTGCATTTCGCCTAAAGTATTTTCTTCTGATTCATCAGTAAACCAAATGTGAATTCGCTCACCATCTGAAGTAACGCAGTCGAATCGGCAGCCTTTCAGTCCGTTGGCACCTTCTGGTCATCTGAACACATTTGTTGACGTCGTCCCATTGGATATTATAGACAACCAATTGGAACACAGTGGCAGTTTCTCATGATAATTGGGCACTCAATGTTGGTCATGCATCATTCTGTACCTTGATCAATGTGAGAGTAACTAAACGGATGAATGTGTTTCTTTCATAAGTGCAATGCAAGTGAACGCTGCTTTTAATCGTAAAATGTAATGCTGGAAATATTGTCAACCTGATAACTCGAACAGTTGTCAGGTGAAACTTTGAATGTTTCCGTTACTTTTGCACTGTGGTTTGTGCTATAACGTCCTCGATCACCTGTGTTTTATGAACGCCTGCTTCACATACGCATGTGAAAGTTGGATATACCTAACCGGATTAGAAAATATGATTTACCTACCGTCGATGATGCGCCCAATGAGTGATTCCTCCTCGTACACCAATTCCAGAGGATCCTTGTGTGAACCGCTCAAAGAATCTATACACGTAACAGCCAGTTTACATGATGTAATTGACAATAAAGATAAAGCTTTGCAGTCGACATCTAGTATACATCATTTGCCGCACCATCGTTCTCGCCAGCATCACCTGCAGAAGTACAAAGAGCCGCACACTAGGGGTGGTGGTAAGCCCGGAATCACTTTTGGAGTAGGAATTGGCATGAACCCACGTAGATTGGGATTTGAAAAACAAGACCATCCACCTCCCAGAGAATATTTCCATGAGCAACAAAATCATGTCCGTGTCCAGGTACATTCAAGAGCGGGCGTTGACGCGGAATCCAGCTGGACGCTCAATCATGTCGAAACCTGTGAGGCTGACCGTTGTTCAGGAATTTCAGAAACCCATTCTGGATCTTGTCCAAATTTGAGAACCCAAAGTAAATCTGTTATAGTTGCAGACCATGTGAAAACTCGACGTAGCATAACCACAACTGAAGCAGATTCATCCTTAGAATATCGGTCCGATCAAGGTACGATGAAAAAGACACATTCTGATTTTGAAATAGCTAGCAAAGATACAGAATCATATACTTCTGACGTTCGACTATTTTCTGATAAACTCCTCTATTTCCCGCATATACATAGTCGTTTGCGTGTACAGTTCAAAAAAGGGTGTGATCCCTCCAACGCACCGGTACAAGTTCCATTGTTAGAGAAGGTGCCAATGGAAGGTCTTCTACCGTTTGTTTGTGGTCGAAGCACCCAAAACTTCTATCAAAACACGCCAGTTGTGGTTGAAAAGAAGAAAAAGTCCATACCCCGGCAGAATTCTATGCGCCGTAAAATGAGCCATTGGGGGTCCTGGGTGAAACGATCATCTTCAAACAGTGTGGAGCTTCAGAGGAAGAAGAATGAGCGCTCACACCTTTGGCACTCTGGTGGAAGTGCTAGTTTCCGAAGAATGAATACTCATCTAGACAGCGCTCCCGACTACATCAAAGAGAACTCACTCGCAATTTCAGAGTACTTAGAATCAGAATCTGGATGCAGCCAGTCAGTTGATGCAATCAACCGGCGAGTGATTTTAAACGTGAGTGGCTTGAAATTCGAGACATGGTCAGCAGTGCTTGAAAGTCGCCCGACAACTGTTCTTGGGGACCCTGAAAAACGAAGACCCTTTTGGGATTCAAAAAGACGCGAATATTTTTTCGATCGCCACCGGCCAAGCTTTGAAGCAATTTTCAATTATTATCAGTATGGTGGTTGTTTAAAGCGGCCAGCCGTCGTATCGGACGATATATTTCTAAAAGAGTTGGAGTTTTTTCAAATTGAAGATGCTGCAATAGAAAGTTATAAAAAAAGTGAAGGATACGTTCCAGAGGTGATTGTGCTACCAGAAATCTCATGGAAAAGAACGTTGTGGCTATTGTTTGAGTATCCTGAAACTTCTCTGTCGGCATTTTGTGTTTCAGTGACGTCTGTTCTTTTCACTGTGATATCCATAATATTATTTTGTGTGGAAACCTTGCCGGCTTATTCGACAACGCACTGTGAACCTGGAGATAGGCCGAACTTTCTGGATCCCTTTTTCATAATCGAAACCATGTGCACCATATGGTTTACTGCAGAGCTCTCGATCCGCTTTCTCAGTTGTCCAAGTAGGAGATCGTTTCTAAAAGATATCAAGAACCTGATTGATTTAGCAGCTATTGTACCATACTATCTTACTTTAACGAACGTGCTGATTACATTCAGCTGCGAAGGGGCCAAAAGCAGTGCAAGCCTTGGTTTTCTTCGTGTCATCCGGCTTATAAGAGTGTTTAAGTTGACCAAGCACTCCTCAGGACTACAAGTACTTGTGCTGACCTTCAAGGAGAGTATCGAAGGTCTGAGCCTGTTTTTGGTAGCATTCATTGTATGTATTCTGGTATTTTCAAGCACAATTTACTATGTGGAAATTGACCGCAAGGATTCTCAGATCGAAAGCATTCCAGATGCCTTCTGGTGGGCCGTGATTACCATGTGTACAGTTGGTTACGGTGACAAGGTTCCCAAAGGACCACTGGGCAAACTGGTTGGCAGTGTTTGTGCCGTAGCTGGTGTCTTGACGCTCGCTATCCCTGTTCCTATCATCACTGAAAACTTTAATAAATTTTATGCACATAAAACTGGCCGCGGCAGACGATAAAACACGGATGCCGAACTAATGTACATTTACCAAAGCATATTTGGCTTTTTACTCAGTGAAACGACGAGTGGCCATTGTAAACCCGTCTCCAAGACCTGTATGCTCAAATGATGCCGGTGAGAATCGTTGCTTTTTCTTTTCACTGCCTTGCTCACATGCTTTTTCAGTGGTAAACATAGAGTTTTGGTGACTACAGGTTAACTAGCTCCGGAGTGCTTATATTTTCAGCCCCTAACAGATAACTATCTTTCATATTTTGTAACCGTTATTATCCTCCGTTGCATTACTTTTCCTCAGTAGCTTATCACAGCAGTTTTTCCTACCTTGTAAGTACTTTGAGTTGATAAAGTTGAATTGCTGATACGAGCTATGCTTTCTTCTGAGCTGCTAGGCTGAAAACAGCCCTCAAACAAATGGTTAGTTTTTGTTCCACATCACTATTCAGATATGTTTGAGAACGTGTCACAACATATACTCATGTAGCTTCGAGTGATTAGGATGAGTAGAACCAGTTAATTGTGAGGATAATTCGCCAATTAGCCAACGAGAATCTACTTATGAAAAGAATCGCATGTGTAAATCTGAGTGTTCTTATATTTCTTTCAAGTCAATTTTATTTTTATTGAACAATTCACATACTGTGCACTATGAGTGAGGATGTGTCCAGTTAGCTTTCATAAAGTCATCTACACACCGAAAGGAAAGTGCTATTCATCAAGAGCTTCATGCACTATGTTAGGTTATAAGTTGATTGCCATCTCAAATAGCATATTTTAGATTTGTTGGGTGGACTAACACACAAGTACGTCATTATATTCTTTTCCCGGATGTATGCCAAATAAATTCTTTTAGCTAATGAGGTATAGCATTAAGGGTGGTTGCTACTTGGCAATAAACGCTCCAGATTCAGGTGTATTTTTCGGTACATTTGAATCCCTATTAGTCAGTTTTATTGGCTTGTGACGAGAAAGTGCAAACTTACGTATAACTCATGATTTGAAACACGGACTACTAGTAGAAGTGCGTAACTAATCCTAGAAGGCAGAATCTTCGAAGCTCATTTTTCCAATCAGTGTCTTGAAACCAGGAAACACGACGAAAATTTATGAACTGTCCGAAATATTGATAGTTTGTTTTCCTCAGGTGGATTAGGCTGCCAAACTAGCAAATACTAGATTTGTTACATTTTATTTTGTCGAAAGTCAGTTGATAGACTTTTGTTGATATCACTGGCATACCACTTTTGGTGAGTAGTAAGTGACACAGCGGTCACAGCAATAGTTTTCGGGTGTTACTGTTTGTAATATACCTTCAAGTAAAGTATTAAATTCACCTTGTAGGAACTAACTGAGCTACTAACACCTCTGTGCTGTGAGCTGGGGTGGCTGACTCTTTTCTTGTCACAATTCCTGGATTTTTTTGTGCAATTTTCGGATTAATAGATCCAGAAGTCATCCTTTTGGAAAACACGGAGAAGTATTGATAGGCTGGTTTTTCAGAAGCACATATTCCATCAACCTTTTTTTATATGAACTTCCGGTTCAAGATACTGCCAAATTACTCGGGGTATTGCAAGTTGTCTAATTGCTATGATGAAAGTAACTGACAATCTTTAGGCTGCCGGAGAAAAAGAGCTAAATATTGAACCTGTGGTCTCCAAAATACGACCTATGAAGTCGTTTCATTCGGGTTGGTTTTTTAGTACGTCCAAACTGGGACCTTCCATTCTGCCATTTGTTTCGGTCAGTCGATTCAAGTATGGTAGCCGTAGCCAGAGGAATTGTTAAGAATAGCTTCAAAAGGGCCAATATTGGCTCATTACAACTGACAGTATAAATGGATAAACAGCTGACCGGAAGGTCAGTCGATTGGAAACAGATCCTCTGCGCTGCTTAATTTCGTTGTTAAGCTGCGTTAAAGGCCCAAGAAGCACAACAGAAGATGAATAATTTTATAAGCCTACTGTGTGCGCATTGCTCTCGTTTACCTCATGGCAGCTTGCCTTTAACGCTTTACCTTATCAGGTTTCATGCTCAAATGTAGTGATCAGTGTGAGACCCTAGTAGTTAGGTCATTGTCCAGCACAAAACCCATAGAACACAGGGGGTCCAGCTGTAGAATAGCTCAAGCCAATCACAAGGGTAGCGGCCAAGCTTCCTCGAAAGGCTTGGCCCCAAGAAGGCAAAACCTTTTGTGGGCTGTCAAGGAATTTTCAGGGACCTTACGTTCATACAGTGCATTGCGATATCTCGAATATCGTAACATTATAAACAAGTGATATAGTTGGGTTGCAGGTGAGTTGCCCGACAAAATCAAGTTAACATGGCGGAAGAAGTAAGGAGGTTTTAATCAGAACTGTGCTCAACAAACCAAAAAGCTATGACTAGCCTAGAAAGGGGAATCAGTTCACATGACTTGTGATCCTGTCTATCTGAGAAGTTATGATTCCAGAAGCTAGTCCATATCCTATCACATCATACCATATCATATCTGAGTGCTGGTTGGTCACGCTGTTGATCAGCCACCCGTCGCCGGAAGGTTAAGTGTTCAGCTGTTAAGCAAGTGGTTCCCAGCTTGAATCTATTCGGGGCTTCGTGCGATACATACTAATAATGAATTTTACTAAGAATGGAACGACTTACAATGCTTATTACCATTTCGGAGTGGATTCACCTTACTTACAGGACAAAATCTGCACAGAAATATATTCTGTTGAATGCTGTCTATGTGCAAATGATTGCGTGCGAAGGCAGTCCCGAACGTCCTACACAACTTGTTCCTGTGTTAATGATGGTCAAAGTTAGAACACAGACCTTGTAAAAACCACTTTGCCTCGTGGGAGAATTTGATGCACGCACAAAGTCTGCTCGCCAGGCATATATGCACGCATATAATTTAGAAATAATGATGGTGTCTTTGTCGCTATCAAAATTTTTAAAGCACCCAGATATAAAAGAAACGCTCATCAACTAGACGCCCAAAGAAGATAAAACACTTTTTTCTAGTCAGTATCCCACGAGAAATTACCTACGAATACCCTTCAAAGTGTTTCACTAGTATGTACAATTATACGTATATATACACAAGTATTTTCACTTCACTACCTGCGGCAAACCGGGTCGTGGTGCACAGTTTCGAAAAGGTTACTACGAAAATTAATATTATCAGGATGTACGAATCAGTTTTTATGAGGGGGAATAACCCTTCATCCCTACGTACGGGATGAATACTCTACATAATTGTCTCGCATATATGTGGTTAAAAAATAAAAGCGCAACATGAATTACTGGATGCTTAGCCATCACTCTTAGGGAGTAAGCTAATTAGGGCTAGTTCTTCATCCCGCTTCACTCCGAATGAGAATATTTAGCAAAAACCCACACCATTATATCAAAAAGATAGATGTTTTTTATTGAGAAACAGGTGACTATCGAGCTTATCTGCATTTCCCAAACGATAAGTGATCTAACTATGGGATGTTTTGGCGCGTAGTGCTGTATGCCAGTGAGGGGTCCATTGAAACAGTGCTGAGTAACATGGTGGTTTAGATGATCAGGCCCGCCTATGGTATGCTCTACATAAAAGATTATGCACCGGTCAGTCTCAGCCAGTGTTATCAGGAACTTGAACTTCAAATTTCCTATCAGAGGAGGTAATCAGCCATTGGAAAAATTGACGATACCCACCCTTTGCCTTTGTTGAGCTGGTTATTCAAACGGAGAATCATAATGGAAAGTCTTTTTGGGATCCCAACATTTCCTCCTAACTAAAAGCACTCTTTTAAAGAGTTCATGCCATCTATAAATCACGTATGGTATGTTTGGGACTTAGCAATCATAGACATCAAGATTTCAGCGTAGAAGCCTCTTTAGGCGAACCTAATATGCATACACAACCACCGTAATCTAGGTCAGATTCAAGTTTTATACAGATAAACCTATGTTTAATTATACATATGTAATTATGCAGAATTACACAGGTTTGGTCTGCTACAAATCATAAGTGAGATATACTTGATGGATTTGAGATTAGAAACAAAGTCCTGATTTTTTTACCGCTATAGCTTACATCAGCAGCTTAGAAACCCTCGAACAGAAGAACGTAGTTCCCTGATAGTAACGTCTTCCTCCGAATTACTTTTTAATAAAACGAGTATGACTGTTTCGATTTTCCGAATTGTGAGTAGTATACTACCTATTTTTTCTAAATCCGTACGTAGGCGACACGTAGAAGGCGACAGTTCTCACAAGTTACTTTTTTACAGTGGTAATTCTCCGTGTCAGCAAAACTGCGTCATTTAGCGAGAAACACTTTTATTCTATGGAGTAACACTCATTTGGAAACAAAACAGCCAAATTTAGAGTGGTTAAGGGTTTTGCTCACGGAAATGATTTTGCTTTTTCCGCTAGGTAGACTGAAGTTAAATAATCCGAATTGAGCCAAACGCGGACGTGTCGTCATAAGTGTGTGGCTATAAGATCGAGATGTTTCCGTTGAATGCTATTTATCGAAAATGTTTGCGGGGGGAAATGATATACCGCCATGAAAATGATAGCTCACTAATATAGCTGTCTTACCCATAAAGTGAATCCTAAGGTGTACTGTTGCGTTGCCAAACTTCACTGGAAACTCAGGTCGCTTCGCAAGACGAAAAATCTTTGAGGAGTATTAATAGTTTTGGTAAATTTCAAAATAGATTTCAAAATTAACGAGATTTACGTAGCATTGCCCTGTACTCCAGTTGCTTTGAGCTGAACATTCAGGTAAACAGCAGTTAAAGTGAAGAAACAGTGTGAAAGGTATTGATGATTCACGCTGATGAACCCCATCATCCGAGAGGATCTGCTGCTATCAGCAATCGCGACCCATTGAAAAAATGGAGCAAAAAATTTGTTCTCTGAAGATCCGATGAATAAAATTAAATATTCATAGAGACAGGCAGTGAAACATAACATGAAATTTCCAATCACCAGTGGATTTCTCAACATTATTGTTGGCAGCAGGCGGGATGATAGTTGCCGACAGACCATTAGTTCCTCATGAAGATGACAAATAGTCAACCCGAAATCACAAAGGTTAGAGCTGCACACTAATTCATACATGCCTATGCATGCTA